CGAGTTGGAAAAGCGTTGCTTAGACATGTCCACACCTTTCCATCTTTTGGCTGTTGATAGGAATAAGTGTGGCGATTGTCTGTAAGGTTTAGTTCTGTCCAGGTCAAAGGCTAATGCTCATCTGATGTCCAAGGGTGTGTAATGCCGCTTCCTGCTGGTTGCTGTGTTTAACGTATCGGTGCTGAGGGAAAGGTGCATTCTCTTGAGCAGCCAGCAGAGTTCTTGCTTGGTGCCCAGGGTTTGCTCAAAGCCGAAGGTATAGTCAGTGCCGAGAGCTTGGCTGGTGCCAAAATGGACATCACCAATGCAGATGGTTTAATTGATGTCGTGGTGCCCGAAGCTGATCTGGTCAGGGCAGTGGGCACCATTTTTGATGATCTCATATCACAGTCTCCAGTGCAGAGACAGTGCCAACGTCTGAAGGTCTGCCCATGTAGGGTCTTTAGACCTCTGTTTAGCTGTGGTACTGGAGGTACTCTGATGGCCCTAAAGCTATGTCTCATCCCCGAAGATGTCGAGGCTATTGACCTTGCAGAGGATGGAGGCGGTGGTGTCTCAAAGGGTGATGGAGAAGCCCATTCCTTCCCATCAGCATGAGAAAGGGAAGATTTTCTCTTAGGACATGGAGAATGAGGGTAGGAGAATGACCTAGCGGAGCATGAGACCCGCGCGGGGGAAGTGTCCAGGCCAGGGTCTGATGCTGGACGCAACGATCTCACCATGAGAAGTTGCAGCCAGACGTCCCAGTCTTTTCTGGCCCTGGCAGTCAGGTTATGGCAATGGATAGACTTCTGCAGGACATGTCCCTCTCCCAGGCAGCGGCTGCACTGTAGATAACCATGGTTATTGGAAAGTTGTCCCACAGGTAACTCATCTCTTAAACCAGAGAGATCTGGGCATAAGGGTGAGAGATAGTTTTCCTGCTCCCTGTTCTTCTCGACTGGAAAGCTATGTCCTAAGCTACGAGCTTAACAGGGAGGATAAGAGGAAGGAATTTATCTTTTTACGGGAGAGGACAAGGAAGGAAAGAACTAACTACTAACAGGTAAGGCACTATTTAATAGGTCAAAGGACAGGCAGGCACCTCTGCAGATTCCATTCCAGACCAAAAGTGGCTAAGAAAGAACTCAGGGGTGGCTGGACCGCAAAGTGCTATATATACAGGTCGCTCATGGCATGAGATGGGGCGGGGGGAGGGGGGGGTTGGTGTGTGTGTGTGTGTGTGTGTGTGTGTGTGTGTGTGTCAATACGCACAGCTAATGAGGATCTCCGATCCCAGGTACATACAGTGCAGCATCCATAGAGACATCGTTCAAAGAAAAAACTAATAATTTGATCTGGGTTAGGATTTTATCTTGAGTCTGCAGATGTGAAAGTCTATTGCAGTGAGTGACCTAGCTCCCAAAATACCCTTGAGTGGAAGGTCACCCTGATCTGCTTTTCAGAGATTGCAAAGATCTGAATATTTGCATTTGGGTGTGTCAGTCATGTTATATTATCTCTGACGAAAGCCATTCACTCAGATACTAAGCATTTCAGCAATACAAGTGTCAATTTTTTCATTTGTGCCTTGGTACATTCATCTTATTCTGCATACCTAAAAGGTAATGAACCACCAAGGAGAATCTTTACCTGTTGGGATTCTGGCTTCAGAGGTACCAGCTGTAGATCTATGCAGTTACCAAAATTTTTTAGGTTATTGTCAGACAGCTGGAAACAGAGTTCTGACAAATTCTGTACACAAACCTGTACGTATTTCCTGAAAATTAAGCATATTGAACGTACAATTATATACAATGTATATAACAACAACATTTAATCCTTGCTATAGAGTTTCTCTAATTGTGACACTCAGGCAAGAACAGTAAAAATGACAGGCATATTTCTTTTCCTCTCTGCTTAATTACTAATCTGAAAGTCTGCAGAAGTAGGTCTATAGTACAGTTATTTTTTATATGTAGTTTTGCTTTTACTGAGTTCTAACATGGAAACCAAAAGATGGAGAAAATTAGCCTATCACTATGTGATTAAAATATACCACCAATAATGTATTTGTTGTTCTGCTGGGGGAGTGTGAAAGGGAGAATAATGGGTGAATCCAAGAATGAGCATTTCGTAAGTGGCAAAACTCACCACCCACTTACAAAAAATAAAAGCTTACGTGGAAAGATTACATACAGAACATCAACTTCTACAAACATTTTCTAAGAGGAAAGAGACTATAAATATTTAAAGACTACATTACCGTTTGCCAGCTGACAGTAAGGAATGCTTGGCATTAAAAGGTACACTGAACGTTAATGCAATAATGGTGGAGTAAATTGACCATGGACAATCAATGGTTACCTGGAGAAAAGAAACAGAATTCTTATTCATGGTATACATTTGCATAATGGCTTTATTTTCCAATTCCAAATACTCAAACATTTCCCAGAAACTTGGTCTTGACCAGTCAAACCTAATGCACCCAAAAGGGAGAAAAAAAATTGATCTATCAAACAACTAAACTTGGTAAGGTGGGAAGAGGATTGCATGCATGCGTGTGTGCACACGCACTTACAGCTTGGTGTGTCCCTGACCTCAACCCCTAAGCTGACTTATCCATGGAATCTGCCTTTTCAGAGTACTTTCTTCAAGGGCTGGCAAATGTCAAGCGAGAACAATCCTGTCGCCAGTGGCATCTTATTGCAATAACCACATAGTAATTTTATTTGAGATTGACAAAATCTAAGGGAACAAACCTATTAACTTCATAACGTAAGGGATGATGGATCTGCATTGTGAACTTCAGCACAGAGCTTCAAAAAAAAGTTCCTCCTGAACTGAATGCAGATTTTCCCTTAATGTGTACACACACTAAGTGTACACACACTAAGTGAAATAACTTTTTTCATATATGTTCATATTCTTTATGAACACCAAATGCCCCCCACCACTAGTTTCCAAAACCAACCTGTAGTTTCTTTTAACAAGAGTTAAGCATGTGAGAAGTAAGAGTGCCAGTACATTGTGCAGACAATTTCAAACACAGGGCAATAAAATCAGTAACATGGGATAGAGCTCTCAAATTAAGTCCCAGCAATATAAGGAAGTGGTGTTACTGGTTTAATTCAAACATTCTTTTCTCTTAATACTGAAGCAGTGTACCAGAATGGTGCAGGGATATTATACAGATAGAAATTACATCTTTCTGATGGATCAGAAGAGAGGCTTTGATCACTGGAGTCATTAAAGATCCCATAGTACTTAAAACTAAAGTAAGGGTGATAACTATGGCCTGTTGGCCAAATTCCAACTTGTGTTATTGGCACAGAATCTCAAAACCTCAGAGAAGGCTAGTATTTGGTGAAGGGAGACTCATCCACCTATAAAGCACTGTATATTTTTGTATATACTTTAAATATTCTGTACATGTATATTTGCATCTATTTCATACAGTCTGAAGTGATTTCATATCCTTTAAGCTAGAAGGTGTTCTGTACAAGTAGGTTATTCTCACCCATATTTTGGTCAATTTAAGCACTTGTGGTCAAACATTAACTTTTTTTGTCATCTTACTTTTTGGTCAACTGTAGCCATGCAGTTGTCCATTTTCTGCTTCTCTTTGCTTTTCCTGTGCAGTTCTTTATTTATCAGATTTTCACTTTCCACTGAAGCTGTTGGGGTTGATGGCAAATAGATAACTTCTAGGTCAAATTCAATCACGTGATATGCAGGAGCCACTGGCAGGGTGATGCTTGTGATCTTTTCAGAAGACTGGATCAGTAATGATGATTCTGAGACTTTTTCTACAATTGTGTAGAATATGAAGTAATTTTAGAAATATTCCTCCCTTTCACAACCTCCATTTTTCATCTCTAGTTATCAAGTCATGAGATCATTTACTGAAAGGCTAGAAATGCCTTCTTCCATCAAGAAGGAGCCCTAAAGGCTTGGTACCTATATAGTGTCTATAACCCACACCTCCCTGTCAGCGAGGACTGCAGCCATAGGACTCATTGTAGAACTCCAAGAACTCCACACTGGCTTCCTTGATGAAGTCTCTGGCTACAAATACATTATGAAGCTTAGGCTGGCAGAGCCCCGCAATGTAGAGACAACCTTCATTGACAGAACTAGCTTTTCTGTCCATGTAGGAACACCACCTCCCCGAATGATGTTAGCTACATCAACAGAAACATTCTTCCATCAACATGGCTGTGTCTATGCCTGGTGTTTGTCAGCATAGCCATGTTGGTCAGGCATGTGGGTTTTTTCCCATCCCTGACCAATGTAGCTATGCCAACATAACCTTCAAGTGTAGATCAAGTCAAAGACCCCACATCATGAATAACCTTCCCCTTCATTATTTCTACTAGTGTTTCCCTAATTCTTCTTGAAGGGCTACTGGCTACCTTCCTTGGTAGTCCATTTCAATATTCAAGAAAATTCTTGACAGAGCAATTTAATGACGAGTCTGAATCTTATCAATGTTCCTTCAGTCCTCACCTGCCCCATTACCCAATCCTTTTTTCACCACTAGTCCTTGCGACTCCTCACATCCTATTACTTCATTCCTTTAATCTTACACAAGCTTCATTACTGATAACATGAGACTATGTACTGATAATGAGGATTTAAACCAGCATTAGTGATGTACCTTAAAAAATTTCATACAGGATGCCTACATTTATCCTATTTTTAATCTCTCTTTATTCAACTACTGAGTCTTTGCTTCTTGCCTTTTACATATAAACTGAAGGAGAGGGGTGAGATGCACTAGCAGAGCTTTGGGAGAAGCTGGGATATGACCTGCTTAAATGAAACACTGGCTAGAGAAAGGCAAATAATTCTTCACTTTCCTGAGCACTAACCATTGCTTTATAAAAACATCCTAGCTGCTTAATAATTATGACATAATTTTTGCTATGGTACAAAGCCTCTGTACAGGTAAGGTCTCACAATGGCAACACAAAATAGTCTAATTCACTCAAATCCTCTAATAATCCTCAACTATTCCTTCCTCCCTACACTGACCTCTATCCATAAAAAGCAGTATTGCCAGGACTAATCTGGTTGACTGAAAGTTCATACTTCTTTCCTGAGGCAAGTGATTGCCTCAATAATTAGACCAAATGCAATGAGAACTCAACCATGAATTCATGTATGCAGGAGGCCTAAGTAGTCAACTCTGTTTTATACAAAATATGCAAATTCAAAGCTAGACAGGGTGGTAAAGCGAACCCTGTAGCTGGATTTCATTCCAGGTCCTAGAAGGTGTTCCCATGATCTCCTTCCCTGCCATAGGTGAAAGTGTTACTAAGGTTTCCTCTGTTGTGTGGTGCCACTTGCAAATATACTACATTTAAAAGTTGCTTAAGAGGCAAGTTAAATTTCCTAATGAAGGGCCCACACACAGTAAATTAATCTTTTCCAGAATGTATCTATTCTGTTATTATTATTGAGATAAGACCGATACCTGAAGTAGCTAAGACTAACTGGTCACATGTACACAGTTTCCAAAACAGTTGTAGAAAAAGGCCAGGACTTCCAGAAGCTTTTGTGCTCTGAAATGCTGAGTTGCCAGTTCCTAATTGATGGTTACTGACAACAATGTTGTCAAATGTTCTAACATCTTATAGACCACTTTGCTGCCATGCAATAATATTTACATCATGCTTATAGGATTTCTGCATTTTCAGTCTGGTAAGAGATAATTGATTTTGGCTATGCTGCTTACCCTTGGTATTGGAATAGATCAATGCTTTGCTCTCTGGATGGTACAGGAAAGGCATGGCATCGGCGTTACTGAGCTGCAGAGTATCTCCACTCTTCATGGTATAATGGCCAGTAGTCACTGTGAACTTCACCCTCTGAGGAATACCAGCCAAAAGGCTGTCTGAAGAAAAAGAAAGCAAACAGTGCCAGTGTATTCCAGCACTCTAGTTATTAAATGGTTACAATTAGCTGCTAATGTTTGCTAGGAGTTTACAAATAAACATTCACAGCTCATTTTTCACACAAGTACGTCTTAACATCAACTGGAAAATTTTACTTTTTGGTGCTCAATTATGGAGTGGGTTTCTAAGAAATTGTCCAAGAAATAGGGAGAGTTTCAGCCACTCAATTTTGGGCAATTTTCACTGTTTCCCTTCACCTGAAGTCAAAGCATTCTCAATCAATGAGGTGCAGCTGTGGAACAAGCTTCCAGAGGCAGTCAGACTAATTCAAAGTGTGACCACCTCTTTGAGACAGCTTTCCCATATTAAACAGAATGATATAGAATATGTGAAGATATAGGAAGAAGGGGGAAAATGTGTGTTAGAGATACAGCCCGAGCAGAGCCTCTTCTACTAAGGGAAGGGGGGGGGGGGGGGGAGTAGAAGACTTCATGAAGCCTAGGGGACCTCACTGGTAAAATCTAATTTACCAGGAATGTTCTTAAACATGGTGACGGGTTCTATAGAAAGCTCTTAGATTGAATTCAGTGGAAAGCGAATCACTAAAGGAAAGACTCCTGTTCATTTTAAAGGGAGTTAGATCAAAGCCTCTTTGGTAGGTGAGTGTGCAAGGTAAAGGGATTTCGCTAAATTACCAAAGCCAATACAGTGTCACAAAACTAGTAAGAAATTCACAATGGTGCAGTCAAATCACTATCTATTCTCCCCATCAACATGTCCAGTGATGCAAGATCAAACCCCACTTGATCCTTCAAAAGGATACAGACATATATATGCACTCCAACTAAGCCAGATTCTGAAATTCGCAATCAAATACTAGTTGTCATGTCACCTGACAAGTGGGACTGATAGTGTTCAGACTCACTAAAGCCTAAAGACTCATATGTTCTCAATAGAAGTAGTTTTAAAAGGAAGCTGCAAAAGACAACAGAGCAAAGTAACTTGTTTTAGATGAAATGAGAAGTAAGAAACATGTCATGTAGTGAGAAAGTAACACGAACAATCAACACATTCTTAGTGTTACAAGTTTACCTACCAGTCAATGGCTCCACTTTTAGCTGGGGCTCCTGAGAGTACACATCATACTGCACAACTGGGTAAATGTGAGGAAGGACAAAGTGCACTTTACCCACTGACGTGCACAGCTGCCTGAGAGTATATGTCCCAGGTTCTTTGGCCTTTGAAAAATAAAAAGTGAAACTGAAGAGCGGATTTTCAACCTAGCAATTATTTTTACATTTCTCAAGAAAACCCTTTGTTTTCTCCACTGAACTTCTGACAAATGAAGGACAAATACATGTCTCAGCCCATTTCTAACTTGTATGCTTTTATCTGAACAACTAGGTGAATAAAAAGAAAAAAAAAGAAATTCATGAAATTGCTCAAGTGCTCCAAATGCAATTTTAATAACTGCAAAGGACCACACCTAATAATGGGCAGGGGGGAGGGGGAGTCAGGAATGTTGTCCATTTGAAGAATAAAGTCAAGTGCTGTCAATTGAAATACTCTGTTACCCAAAGTACCTAGCATAGCAACCCACTCTGCTGATTATTTGTATCTCATACATATATATATTTGAAGTGAGGGCTACATACATTAAAATATAATGAATATGATCATCTATGATATTATGGACTTTACCAGGTCACAAGCAGCGGAGTGCTTATTTGGCTAGCATTCATAAAACCCCACACTGTGCAAGGCACAGACTTCAATCAGTATAAGCCTATGATGTTTTCACACTTTCTTCCACATTGTGTGGACACCTATTAATGAATATATTTTAATCTCAAACTCTCCACCAACTCTACCTTAAGGTGGCTAGTTATGATAGGATAGCACCATTATAAAAAAATAATAAAATGGTACACCTGTAGGTGTGCTTCCAGAAGATGCATCAGTTCTATCCCTGGTGAAGGATAATGTGTTAGTCACTGCTGATAAACAAGATTTGAGGTTTGGAAGTGGTTTCTCCCCCACCCCTTTGTCACTTCTTACTGCACAGCATTGAAAGTGCTACAAATCTTTGTTAATGTCATAGGCTGCTCTCACAGCAGAATTAGAATTTTTTGGGCACTGGAATGAACTTTAGTTTTAATCAAACTAGCAGTTATAGTCAATTGAACAAAAAACTGAAATGATACAGCTATTTATCCTGTCAAAAGCACTGAGGGCATATGAACACCCAAACAGAAGGAAAATGCTGGCCTCTCAAATCTATAGTATTTTGAATTTTTCACATAGATAGAGCAGGTTTTCTAAAAAATCCTCCTATTTTCTTGAGCATTATGTACAGATTTGTGTTGTGCGCGCCATATCACATCACATCTGATGTGGAATTAACCCATAATACACAAACCTTATGCGGCCTGAAGCATTTGTTTTTTGTCTGACAGTGAACAATCAAATTCAAAATGTTTCAGTTGTAAGTTAGTGGTACTGCACCTGCCCCCAAATTACAATCCTACAAGCCTTACCATCTGAGTGTTTTCTCAAAACTTTTTCCCATCTTGTAAATAGACAAAAGCATTAGTGCATATTATGTGCTAATGTCATGGGAGATTTCATGTAATGTAAACCTAAGCAATTTTTAGGAGTCATAGGAGAGGGGAATACAGACCCAAAGAACCCAGAAAACATCTTCTGACCTGCTATAAAACTTTAGAATGAATACATTTAAAAGAGGGTCAGTTTGGAGTATGGCTAAGAGACTGCTGCACATTTAGCATGAATCAAGTTCTATGCTCGGTCTAAAAACCTACAAACAAAGCAGAGTGCACATACATCCCATATGGAGGGGGGCATTTTCTTTTCCCTTTATTGTTCCCTCAATGCAATTGTTAGGCTGGCCTACACTTAAAATTTTGATCGGCATAGCTATGTTGCTTCCCAACTGACATAACTGGGCTGAACTAAGCACCAGTGTAGACGCAGCTCAGTAGACAGAAGAATGCTTCCATCAACCTAGCTACCACAGCTCAAAGAGATGGATTACCGACAACAATGGAAAGTGCCATAGGAAGTGTCTACACTATGGCACTACAGCAGTACAGCTATGCTTGGCGTAGACATGGCCTTCATCCTACACAAGTGAGAGAAGTTTCTATAATCCCATTTTTTAATCTCTTGACCTGTTAGATAATGTAACAAATATTAAGCCATCATCCTACAGTAGGTGCACTCAATTTTTTTTAAATAAACATACCACCTCTAATATATTTTTAAGAAAAGTATCACCAAGTGATATCTAAGTTACTTGATACTGTCAAAGTTCTAGAAATTAAAACTCTGTTCTTAGCAGAAGAGGATAAATGCTGGATGCAACACTCAGCATGAAGGAATCTAACAACACAATTTCCCCTCTTGCTGTTCCTTCACTACAGGAAGAGATTTGAAAACAGGAGAATTAGGAAGTTAACCCTCCCTCCTTCAGTATTGGCCACCAGAAATGTACATAGTATGAGATATAAAGAATAGTTCAAGTAGTAAATTGTATCTTCATTTATATTCCATCTTTCTGCTTCCAGAGTTTAGTAGATTGCTTCCTCACTCATGAAGCCAAAAACACTGCACACACTAATCCCCTACAGCCTTCTCCCAGTCAGGTTCTTCAGACTTAGATCCAATTTTATATGAAACTGCATCTGCAGCCACGTGGCCCTCTGAAATCTCCAAATCGCATTGCACTGCCTCTATTACTAGATATGGGTTGTCTGAGTGGTATGTAACAGCCACTGACTCACAGGAGGTATTCAAAAACCTAAAAATTAGACCAGTAGGTAGTGCACAGATCACACGGTTGCCAGCTCTCAGTTCAAGCACCTGCTGCACCAATGTGAACTTACATCTCCAGCAGATAAGTGCTACCCATACAGGCTCACAGTGTCAGCCTGCCCCTGTATGAGCACCTCTCTCTTTAGTAAAAAGCAACAGAGGGTCCTGTGGCACCTTTGAGACTAACAGAAGTACTGGGAGCATAAGCTTTCGTGGGTCAGAACCTCATTTCTTCAGATGCAAGAAGAATGCAGCCTCTTGCAAAAAAGCACTCTTTAGTGCTTGCCGTCTTAATACTGCAGACTGAAAAACGAAAGCATAGACTGCACTTAGCCTGTAGGCTAAATAGAAAAGTTAGATGTTGAGATGGTGACAGACAATGAAAGAAGGAGATGGAAAAAAAGATTAATTTGAGTCTCAGGAGAAGTGGGGTAAAACACACAGGTCATTATGAGAACATTGGAAAAAATTCAGTGACCAGCACTGTTAAAACCTCCAATTTTTAAAATAATCTATAGTTCTGCTTTTGTTCAGTTCTGTATAAGGTTGCAAAGTTAACTACTAAAACATTAGGAAATGTCAAAATTAATTCAGTGTATTATGAGGCAGTGTATAATTACAAAATCACATACGGTTTTATTCAAGGACCATTGCCTCACTCAGTATACAGGACAGGCAGAGCTCAGGAAATGAGGCAAAAATTCAATATTTGTTTTTATACTCAATGCATTGCTTTACTTACTGCACACCATCTAGACACTGTATTGAATACAGAATTATTCATTTCCTCGTGGTTTATCTACAGTTTGCTCATCACTGTAGTATCCAAGTTTAATGCACACCCCTCTCTGGAGGTCTGAAGACTTTTTTTTAATATACAGACAGGGAACTGAAGCACAAGATGATTAAGGCAAAAAATTTTTGCAAGAGGCTGCATTCTGAAATACCTATTTTTCAGAATATTTTAAAATGCTATATAGACATACCAAATTATTCCTCACAATACCCTGTCAGGCTAGTCAGTAACTATTATCCCCATTTTACAAGTGGGGACACCAAAAAAGTCAAAGTGATTTGCCTAAAGCCACACAGCAAATGAGTAGCAGAGCCAGGATTAGAACTCAGGATCTCCTAACTCCCAACCCCATACACTCATTCCTCCAGTCCATACTGCCTTACTGCTAGAGGTACGAAGCGTAATAGCTCTCAGGTTGTGTCGGGCTCAGGCTAAGGGGCTGTTTAATTGCAGTGTACATGCAAATAAACAGCCCCACAAGCCCGAGTCAGCTGGCACGGGCCAGCTGCCGTTTTTTAATGGCAGTGTACATACCCTCAGTGATTTCAGCTGCAACTGAGTACTTCGCACTTCTGAAAATCAGGCCCCAGAGATCTCAGGTTGGGCACCCAGAAAATAAAGCACACACAAGTAGTGACCATCTTTAAGAATTTTGGTTTAAAGTTACTTGCCCAGCATCATATATATATATAAAGAAAAAAATCTGTGGCAGAGGCAGGAACACAACCAGTTTTCCTGGCAGCATTCAATTGGCTTAATTAGTGCCATCCCTTGGGTAGGGTGAATCGGGGCGACCGCTTTGGGCCCTGTGCTTTGGGGGACCCCATGGGCTGGTGGATTGGCCAGTGCAGTCAGTCCCAGAAGAGACGAATCAGTCACTTCTGCCCTGGGCCCCGAACCCCCTTAGGGACGGCCCTGAGCTTAACTGTATATACACATTTCTCTCTTCTTGCAGCTCTCTCCTTCAATCACTACACACCTTCTATCTTCTGCAATGAATGAGACTGAGGTCCTTTGGGGAAGAGTATTGGTAACATAGCTAAAGACTGTCATACTCACAGGGAAGAATTAAAAAGTTACACAAGCAACCTTAATTCTGACATTTCCTAAGAGCAAGTGGTTGACTTTGCAATCTTAATATTCTTATTTTTTTTGTATGCAATGATTACTATAGCTGCTATCACACCACACTCTGGAAATGAGCAACCACCAACATGATTATGTATTGCTACAGCTAAAACTGGCTGATACTGACTCTGGAAAAAAGATTACCTGTAATAGAACGCAATAAGAAAAACACCTCCCCGCCTGGAACCTTTTATGCATTACTTCGAGCAAGTCTGACTATGGAACAAAAGAATCTTACCTTTTCTAGAACACGATGGACAATGAACATTGCAGTTTGTGACAGATGTAATACTCATCTGAATTCTAGTTGTTAGATAAGTTTTATTTTTATTAAAGTGATAACTGGATAAATAAAAATGACTTAATGAGTTTGGTGGTATCATTCTAGTCTCCCATTTCTGCACATCAGAGAACCAACCACACACTTTAGCAGAGTTAGCAGCCTCTCTTCACAATAGGCCAAGGTCTGCAACAACAAGGGCGAGCCAGGAAGAGGTTAAGCTGCATTGGCAAAGCTGTGGCAGGGGAGCAACACTGGATACCACTTGCCAGCACTACGCCCTTCTCTAATCAGTGCTTTTAGATCTTCTCTTTCATGAGTGCTATGCTCACTCAATTGTAAAAACATACCTGAGTTCTGAATGTTATTGTATTGACCCCTGGTTCCAGTATAAAGTTGCTACATCTTAACATGTGAGCCCCATCCTCTAGAGTCACCCCTGAGGGCATTTCCAGAGAAGAGCTGCTCTCCTGCCTTCGCAGTAGCATGTGCACATTTTTGCAGATTATTCCCGTCGTGTTCAAAGAGTTATCCGAAGGGCTCCTTTCGTACATTTCATATAACTCCAGTGCTGGCAAGTTATTTCTTGAGAAAGGGAAGCCTGCAACCTCATTTGGGAAGCTGATAATACCGTTGGAAGTTTTGTGTTTAGTGAGCCATTCAGCTGTTTTCCGGTAATTACTTTTCTCAATGCTGAAGTGGACATTGACGGCAATCTGATCCACTTCGACTGGGACGGGCATTTGGCTCAGCAAAGTCAGCTCAATAGACAACATTCCACCCACATGGATAACAGCATTTGGAGGGTCAAAATGTAGAGTTTTCAGCTGTGCAAAGGAATGCATAGACAGTATAACCTTTTGACCTGGAAGTACAGACAAGAACAAGGTATTTTACTCCACTCTGCTTTTGGTAATGCAAGGTTAGCCTTTACAGCAATCCATTTTTTAAAAAGTTTAGAAATTTTAAAAACTATGTCCCCGCCCATTCCAAAGTGACAAAAAACATCACCTTCTTCTTAAGCTAAACGGAATAAAAAGTTTAAATTCTAGATGCCTAAAATGAAATATATTTTAAAGTTACAACTTTAGTTCTGCCTCAAATACAATTATTGTAGTGAGAAAATCTGACAAAAGAACTGTTCGTGTCAATAGCTTTTAAGCTACATAGTACACCTACACCGCAAAAAAAAACCCCAAAAAACACACGCCACACTCATGGCAACGAGTACATGTCTCAACTGACTCGGGCTTGCTATACAGGACTAAAAATAGCAGTGTAAACTTGGGCTGGAGCCCAGGCTCTGGAATCCAAAGAGGGGAGCGGATCTCAGAGCACCTTTTTTGCAGGGGCAAGGGGGCAGTGTAGATGTACCCATAGCAAGATCTGTTATTCATTGAACCTCTTCAGAATCACTTACTAGTGTAGCACAGTATCATAAGACTAATGCTGGGCTATTATTCTTTATGCTTCTGTACACCTGAACAGTTAATTTAATATGACAGAAAAAAATATTCCAGAGGACATACCACCGGAGCAAATGCAAACTCATGATAGTTGTGATCAGAGTGGTGCCTGGAACCATTATCTACACCAGGTCAGGTTCCCCTCACTCTTACATCATTGCTAGATGCCAGAAAACAACAGTGACAGACACTTAAAAAAATTTCAACTAGGAAGCAGGTCTAGCATGACACATCAATGGTATTTCCAAGGTGTCTTCACTGTTGTAATCTAAGCAGAACATCAAGAAATATGCACCTAAAGATGAGCAGTATATCTTCAGAAAAAATTGCAGCGAAGTGTGCTCGGAGTTTAAATCATAGTAAATGCTTCTGAGGACAAAGTATAGGCTGGAGTAGAGGAGAAAATCAAATATTTATCAAGGCAGTCAGAAGAAAAGCCATTAGCCAGAGGGGAGCACAAGGCTGACACTAGAGAAGGCAGGACAACAGTCTGCAGAGCATGATTTCAGAGCTACAGGGAATGGGATCCAGAGGCAGAAAGGTAAATCAGGGAGTATAAGATGGTCAGAGATGAACTGTGGGCTGCCTTGGTAGAGGCAACAGGGAAGTAGAAAGGTGAGGAAAAACAGAAAAACTAAAGAACCTTTCTGGTACTCAAACTGAACATGTTAATTAGTGCATCATCCACTATTGCCAATAATGCATGAACTAAGAAGGGCTTCCAAAAGTCTCTCTCGGCCTAATACCATTACAAAAAGTGGACAGACCAGAATTTAGATAGAGAGTTATTATGGGTTATAAAATGAAACAGAATTATGCATTATAGTAAAGAATCCACTGCATGACAGTACAACAAACCTGCAAAAGCCTTCAGGAAATTCAGAGTTACAGATCCTATCAGGCCCTATCCTCTACTCACAGAGCTGCACCTAATTCCATAGAAGCAGAAACTGAGGGCTCAAAATTTGGCTCTCTTAAAACAGTTATAAAATCCCAAAGAATTGGGAACCATCTTGTTTATTATAACATTTCTCTATACAAGTAACATCTCCAGTGACTCCAGATCACAAACCCTTTGGGTTTGTCTATACTACAGTTACAACATGGTTCCAATTTGTGGTACAGACAGAACCCCTCTCTGATGGACCGCAACCTTGTCATGGTGGAGAGGCTTGCATGGGCTAAAGACCCTCAGAGCTATGTCATCCGGAGCTTTTATACTCCTGGTAGGGTACCCCTTGGCGAGCAGGTCTGAGATGAGGCTCATGACTAACCATGGTCCAAACTTCAAAAAGACCCCCACAGTGGATCGTGTGCATAGAGAGGACCTTCTAGTACTCTGCAGCTGTGAAGGCGGATGAGGGCTGCATCCCTCAAGGAGAGAGGCCCCTAGTTGTCTTGGATCTCCTTGCCACTGGGTCAGGGTTTTCCTCCTGTCAAGTTTCGTGTGGTTACTGCCTGCACACCAGTTTCCCCACGTTAAAAGATTTCACACACAGGCCTCTGCCAAAGGGTTCACACCAGCACAAAGTCCTGCAGTGATGGACGAGCGGCAGGGAAGGACAGAGCAGTGATCTCTGGGAGTCTTTAGTCACAAATCTGCATGCAGGTGGCAGCCATGTTATGGTTGTTTTGTCCTTGGTTGAGACAGAAGTGCATTTCGGCAGCAGCGGCTGTTACTGACCAGGCCTTTTCAGGATCCCCTCTGATCACCCCAAATGGGGAGGGGGCTAGAAAAGGTGCCCCAAACATAGGCGGTCTCACACTGTTCCGACTGGATGGCCGTATCCAGTGGGATCACTCAACTCTGCGGCTGAAACAAGAGATACAAAACAATGAATTTTGCCACCTGGAATGTCCACACCCTTATGGGCTCTCAGCGCAGCAAATGCCCAGAAAGAAGAACTGCCATAATTGCCAGAGAACTGGCAAGACTCAACACTGATATTGCAGCTCTGAGAGACCTACCGAGCCGATGAGGGCCAATTAAAAGAGGATGGAGGTGGCTACACCTTCTTTTGGAAAGGAAAGCCACCTGAAAAGACAGACATTCACACGATTGGCTTTGCCATCAAAAATAAGATCGCCAGTCAGCTTTTGGAGCTTCCCGTGGGGATCAATGAGCGTCTCATGGCTCTTTGGCTCAAGCTTAGTAACAACCAATATGCCACAGTCATCAGCACATACGCCCCAACACTCTATGATGAGGAAGACAATAAGAAGCGGTTTTATAGAATTCCCGATGCAGTCCTCAAAACCAACCTAAGGCCAACAAACTCATCCTCCTGGGAGATTTCAATTCCAGAGTCGGACGGGATTCCCAGCTCTAGAGAGGCACAATATGCAAAGAAGGGGTGGGAAATGTAAACCCCAATGGTATTCTCTTTCTCAGCAAATGTGTGGAGCATGACCCGCTCATCACAAATACCATCTTTAGGCAGAGTAACAAATTTAAGACCACCTGGAAACATCCTCAGTCCAAAACACTGGCACCTCCTTGACTAGGTTATAGTCAGACCCTGAGACTATACCAACGTCCGTATAACACGAGCTATGAGAGGTGCCGATCACTGTTGGACAGACCATCGATTAATAAGATCAGTCATGTACCCGCAGCTCGCTCCACCACACCACAAACACCCAAAGACTAAACGAAAGCGGTACAACGTCAAAGCACTTCAAGACCAAGCCAGCCGCGAGACGTTCCAGCAACATCTGAGAAACTCTCTAACCTGCCTGACATCACTGACATTCAAGAGCACTGGGATCAACTTAAAAACACCATTCACAATGCATGTGCTGAAACCATAGAATATTCCACTCATCAGCACCAAGACTGGTTTGATGAAAAAGAGGAAATCCTAGGATTAATTCAACAGAAAAGAAATGCATTTTGTAACTGGCAAAATGATTCCTCTAACAAACGAAAACATGAGGACTATCATCTGCTTAAAGCCAAAGTAGGCTATGTGACATCAAAAACAAGTGGTGGCAAGAGAAGGCCTCTGAGATCCAGGATTTTGTAGACCACGATGACATGAGAAGCTTCTTTCAAGCAAAAGCTATATATGGGCCAAGCTCCAAAGGCCCAACCCCCTTACGTTCTCAGGATGGCTCCACCCTCCTTAAGGACAATGCAGTTATTAAACGACACTGGAAGGAGCACTTTGAGAGCCTACTAATCCACAGGCCAACCGTCTCTGAAGACACCATCAAGTTTATTCCACAATGCCCAGCAATGGAACATCTTCCTGATCCTCTATCTTTTGACAAAGTCTGGGATTCCATCACTCAAACAAACAAAACAAAACAAAACAAAAAAATCAAGTCACCAGGCCCAGATGGCATCCCAGCTGAGGTTTTTAAAGCTGGTGGAACAATGCTCCAGCACAAACTTTGCCAACTCCTCGACAAAATCTGGACCTGCAAAGAAATTCCACCTGACTAAGAATGCCAATATTGTTACAATATTCCAGAAAGGGGACAAAACTTGGTGTGGGAACTACAAAGGTATTGCTTTCCTCTCCATCACAGGAAAGATTCTTGCCCAGATCCTACTAAACTGTCTCCTCCCCTCTCCCGAGGAACTCCTCCCCGAATCACAGTGTGGCTTCAGGCCATCCCGAGGCATAATCGACATGACCTTCGTGGCACAACAGATTCAGGAGAAGTGCGGAGAGCAACACCAGTTCATGCAGAGAGCAACACCAGCAATGTTCATGGCATTCATCGACCTAACCAAGGTCTTTGACTATCAATCATGATGCCCTATGGAAGGTGCTATGTAGGTTTGGCTGTCCACAGAAATTCATTTCCATCATCAGACTACTCCATGATGGGATGACTGCCACCATTTTGTGCAACGGCTCAGAGACCGAACCATTCACCATTTGCACCGGTGTCAAGCAGGGCTGTGTCATTGCTCCAACACTCTACTCCATTTACCTTGCTGTGATCCCGATTCTCATTCACGGCTGCCGTCCTGATGGAATCAGGATTGAGTATCGTATGGATGACCAACTCCTCAATCTTCAATGTCTCCAAACAAAAATCTAAGATCACGAGAATTGGCATCACTGACCTACCGTATGCAGATTGCATCATTCTTGCACACTCAGAGGCCGACCTGCAAAGCACCCTAAATCTTTCTGCAGATGCTTATCCCAGCCTGGGTCTCTCTCTCTCTCAACATCAGGAAAACCAAGGTACTTTACCAGCCCTCACCTGCACAAACTACTCTTCGGACTCCACAAATTACCATCAGCGGAGAACCCCTGGAAAATGTGGACCATTTTCTGTACCTTGGCAGCCACCTCTAACAAACAGCCAGCATTGACACAGAAATTGAATACAGGATCCGTTGTGTCAGCGCAACTTTTGGAAGATTACTCAAACAAGTCTTCAATGATAGGGATCTACAAACAGGTACCAAGATCTTGGTTTAAAGACAGTTGTCATCCCCACACTTCTCTATGGGTGTGAGACCTGTGTAACCTACAGATGTCATCTCAAGCGGATGGAGTGGTTCCAGCAGCGCTGCCTCAGGAGGATTCTCAGGATCAGCTGGTAAGACCGATGCACTAACATCAGCGTTCTCTCTGCAGCCAATGTCAGTAGTATAGAAGCGCAGGTCATGAAACACCAACTCCACTGGGCTGGCCGCTGTGTACGTATGCCTAACACTTGCCTTCTGAAACAAAGTACTCTTCTCTCAGTTAAGTCAGGGAAGAAGGGATCGCCGAGGGTAGCAGAAGCATTTCAAATACATACTGAAAGTACATCTTAAAAAGGAGGCATCAGCCCAACAAACTGGGAGGACTTAGTGCGTAACAGAACACAGTGACGCCACACCATACAGCAAGCCACAGCTCATTTTGAGGAGAACAGACGTGCTCATGAGACAGAGAAGCGACAAAGGAGGGAAGAAAGGGCACAACCCTCCAGCCAACAGCTATGTCTCCCCCAAGATTACACCTGTCACTTCTGTGGGAAAATCTGCAGGGCAAGAATTGGCTCCTCAGCCACTTAAAAACTCACCAATGAACCCCCTTGGTAGACATCAGCCTCGTATTGAGGGATAGCCAAAGAAGACGACCAACAGAACCTAACTATGTTGCAACCAAACAAAGGCCACTGGGCATTAGCAGAGTTAAAGAACACTTAGGTCACATCTACATGCAACTATTGATTAAAGCAACTGGGACCATGTTGCTACCAGTTTCATGTTGTTTTCTGCCCTTCTGGGGGCAAACTTGTGCAGGAGCACATGTGACTACTGAAACAAGCTGAAACTAAGGGGATGAGAAGGTGAACAAGAAACAATATGCAGGAAAAGGATATATCAATAGACCACAAAAGGTAGGAAACATTTGAAAAAACAAAGACCTTACCACATGAGCAAACTTCATAGCTATAATTCAGTACTGGTGGAGCTTCACTAGCTGAAGCAGTGCTGGGAGTTGTAGCGAAGAGGGGGGCAGACAACACTGTGGTAAAAATGCCCGTGCCCTGTCTACATTACATCTTACACCACTAACACCAATGCTCCAGCAGCAAATTATAGATACAAGATATGCTAGTGTAGATGCAGCCATAGGGGAAAAAAAACAAAAACAAAAACAGGACTACTATAGTAGAACTGGAGGAAAAAAATTCACTCAAAAGAACCCCCAAAAACACACACACCCCTAAAAACTTGAGGGGCTTTATGTGAGAAAGGTGGAAAAAAGATCCCGATTTGTCAGATAAAAGTGAAATTAAATCAAATAAATAATTGAATACATGTGGGGTTGTGGTCCAGAAGTTACACACAGAGCAGTGAGCTCTGATCAGAAAGACTTGCTATCTCCCTTTGAAAAGAAAGGTTAAAGATCCGATCAGCTGAAATATTACAGTCAAATATTTAAATCTAGTCTCACCTTTGCCCTCTGTTTGCTGGTTGGCAAAATTTAAAATTTCTTGGCAGAAGTGCTGGCGCTCATCTTTTGTTAAGTGATCATCACTGGCTAAAAGACTGCTTGTTTGAAGATAGCTGACACACCACGTTAAGGAACTGAGGGGAAAGGACTACAATCCATTTCAGAAACACTTTGGGGGGGGGGGGGGAAGAAATGTGATTCATTTTTGTGTTACTGTTTTTCTATCCTCCAGATACTGGATAAGCTGCTTTAGCATCAACAAAAATTCCCCATTAGAAAATAAAGCAATGGGAGGGTTCACTATCACTAAAGCCCATTACAGAAGCATCTTTTTATTTTACTGCAGATTATCTAATAAAAAGTTATCCACCACACTTAGTTTTTTATATAGCAAAATGTAGTGACTGTCTCAAACATATTACTGACTGGAGGAAAATTCACTTGCTCTTTACTAACCACAGATAAATGAATTGCAGGGCCAAAATATTGATGCATTACATTACACTGTGATAAAAATTAAATAAGCTCTAGCATTTGATTAAATTCTAGTTTGTTGGTGTACACCATACATTTAGTGCACAGAACTCCACTCTGGGAATCTGCCAAATGTGATAGCAGCACTTACCATAACTAATCGTAAGAAAGGAATTTATATTCTCTTGGAGTACAAGGACTTGCTGCAGTACAGTATTCATTAAGACTACATCATCATTAGCTCAACGGCATTTTTTCTAAGAGCACATTTTGAAACATACAGAATAAAATTTTCAAAAGTGCCCATATGACTTGGGATCCTAGGGTCCATTATTAGAGGAGACTTAGATTTAGGATCCTAACTGCCTAACTGAAAATCAGTTGGACTTAGCCTCCACTATGTTAACGTGTAGGCAGAATCTCTGTACAGTGTGATGTTTATTGGACCAAAAATAAGTAACATCATACAAACTTTAGGGCCAACATACCCTTTTCTACGGATGCCAACAGAAAATGTGTACACTAGATTTGTTAGTCTAATATAATGCATCACATGATCTATGCTTTGTCAGCTCTGTCACAAGGACTCAGATGTTGAAATACCAAACAGGCAAACATAAGAACAACCTGTATAAAGAGATCAAAGACATCAAATGGACTGTAGAAAAATCAACAGACTAATCTCATTGGCTACTGACTGGACTCTCTCCAGCCTCACATCCAACATATTTAGGTAAGAAAATATGCATGTCAACAGTACGCCAATCTGAATTTTCCAGGTTTTTTTATTTTAGAAGATACTTTTCAATTTGCCCAAGGTGTTTCTGACATTCGGCTAACTGCTTTCTTGTATGTGTGATAAGCAATGCCCAGCCCTCAGCAAGGTAAGTTTTTAGTGCTCCTTGAAGATAGACCTCTGCCTTCTGTGGACCCTTCTTCCTCCTGGAAAATAAAGAATAATTTGCAACTGATCTAGGTATAACAGAATGCCATGGACACAAAACTTCTCTACATATACCCCAAGCCCCAAAGTTCTAGAAAGTAAACAAAACTGAAAAAGCAGCCACTTTTGAGATATACGCATTGAATATGCACTTGACAAAGTATTGTAATGGATGATCATGCTATTAATTTTGCCAACACTGTATATCGGGGGATTGCTTTTGCATTTCACCCAAAGCCAAAAGTTAATTTTTAGTTAGAAATACTACACAGTGACTACACAAAGCATTCAAACACAAATCTGTCTCGGAAAACATAGGAACCAAAGTCAAGGTTCTCCCCCTGCCAGCCCATTGGGGTCATTAGTGTGATGCAGCTGTCTCATTTTTATAATTAAAAACACGCTTATTCAACAAGTTCTAAGTATACTAAAACTGAAAAGAAAAAAAAAGAGGAGATAGACCATTTAATTACAAAATAGCTCTATACAATCCCCATCTCATGTCCTTCAGGTCAAAACCTGAGTGAATTCATGACCCTCATACTATGGCTGGAAGGTCTGATTAGCTATGATGGATCAGCAAGAGAAAAGTTCCAGTATAACAGGACCCAAACCAAAACACTGCCCTACTCTGAAACTACCTGAAACGTAAAACTGGGAAGCATTAATGAAATCTCTTCAGAAGAGCTTAACTGCACATTGGTTTACCTTCCAGTGTAATTTAATGTTGAGCATATTGCAATTAATAATAAAAACTCATTAACACATACAGTATGTGTTGGAAATCACATTAGAAAACATGCCTGAAAGCTTTTTAGCCTAGAGTACGTGCAAGTATCATCAGTCAGTTAATAAAAACTGAAAGGACGGACGGCTCAGGGCCAAAAATTCACTACTAACTGCTTACTCAGCACATCTGGATAGTTATCTTTATTATTCCCCCACTCCACCCCAAAAAGGGAGGGGCTGTAAATTGTTGCATCCATTTTCTGTGCAGAGTTCTTAACTGTGGAACTCATTGTCCTCCTGGGCACAGCAGAGCCTAGGGTGATTTTTCCCAGGCTAGTGAGGAGGTGACCAGTTGAAGAATATAGGATGGCTAGCGGTCGGATTGCCTGATTATTATTTTGGGTATCGCAGTTTGGCATGACAGATTATTAGTGTATCTCGTTAATTTTTTGTATTATGTATTTTATTACTGAAAGAAAACCTATTTAGAATACTTGTATTAAGAGTAACTGGACTATTAAAAAAATTCTATTGTTAAATGCACCTTTCAGAATACAGTTAATTTCTCTTACAGACTGTGTCCAAGTTTTTCAACACTATGGTATTTTTAGAAGACATTTTTTAAAAATTCATTTACATATAAAACTCTGCTAAGTCCTTTCCAACAAGTTTAGCCGAGCGAATTCTTCCAATATTTGTGTACATTTCAATGGTGGCATGGGACAGATCCTGTTTAAAAGTAAAGAAACAAGAATGTAACAAGTGCAAAACATGGAACAGAAAAGAATTCACAAACCAAAAAACCCAATGAACAGCTCAAAGTGAACATAATTATATGCTGATTTTTGTATAAGATTTTGTTTAGCAATTGTACACATAAGATACTTCACAAGGGAAATGCCACACAATTATGCTAGTTTATTTGAAGGTACAATCATCATCTTAAAATAAAAATGTCTTGAAACAAGTTATCAATTACTACAACAACTGAAAGAAACTGGAAAAAGATTTTTTGGGGGGAGGAGGGGGCCACGCAGGGGCGCAGATTTTCTACACCTGGTAACACTGCATCTAAGTAGCCATCACTGTTTCCCCTGTATAATCAGTAACCCTCTATGTCAGTATTACACACAGCAATAGAGGAAAGAAAAACATCTTTTGAAATAGGACAATGAGATTTTAATACCACAAAAACTGACAGGGATTAAGGGCAGATGTAGTACTTGAAACTACTTCTAACTCATTTTTAAAGTGACTACATTTCTAGGTGACAGTATTCTGTTACCCTCTAGGCTAGATTTTTGTGCATCCTGTTCACATTTATCAGATCATTAAAAGTTTGTACAAGAGCCTTGTCATTTGGGTTTCTAATCAAACATTATGCAGCACTACTTGGAAATGTGTGCATGTACTGCTGGAGTGAAAGATCATGTAACTGGTCCTATTCTGAAATAAATTTAATCTGAATGTAAGAGGAACCTCAATCAACAGGTACAAATCCCAAACAAAGAACTAAGAGTTAAAGTTGTACATAGATATATTTTAAAACATTTATACAGTTAAATAAATAGTTTGAGGTGCTCTGCTGGAAGACAAGCAACCCAGAGTTAAGGTTCCACAACCAACCTTGAGCCCCATTCCCTACACATCCACAACCTGCTGTTCAGTCTCCTTAACCCCCCCCACCCTTCCCCCAGCTAAATTTCTAATATGGCTACAGACCTCTCTCCCCCGAAAACCACCAAATAGATCACACGTTGGCAACCCCAACTCCTTCAGTCTCCTCATCCACTCTGGGCCACAGATACCAACATTTTGTATCATTCTATCCATATACAGGTTAGAAACACAACCCTCCCTTTCTGCTATGTTCTGCAACATTTCACCTCCCACATAGCCTAAAGACAGTCTTTCCCATTCAACGTTTCACAATTAAGATCTTCCCTGTCGAGTCTCTATATACAGACTAAAACCCCGTCTTTCTCTCATTAACATCTCATAATGGTTTTAGACCACCCTACAGATGGGGTTCTCAAGTTTCATTCCACAACCCCCTTCTGACAACAAAAATTACTACACAATCTCAGCAGGGAGGTACAATGCCTGAGCCCAAGCCAAACCCCGCTGCCTTGGGCAGGAGAGGAGTGGGGAGGAGAGGATCTGAAGCCCAGCCTGTAACCCCAGACAGTGGGGCTTGGGCTTTGGCCCTGGGATCCAGCATGTCTAATGCCAGCTCTGGCGACTCCATTAAAACAGTTTGAGACCCGCTGAGATAGATCAAACAAATTCCTACCTTGTCAACTGTAGACATACTGGCTATAGACACCTCAGTTACATACACACAAGATAGGAGCCAACATGTGTGTAGTAGAATTTACACTTGATATGAAAAAGTTTCTAAAATTGTTGTGACTTGTTAATCTTTGTTAATTAGGACACTACAGAATCAGGGAAAGTAGTTCGTGGAGTTGTAGCTCAGCATTTTCTGACTTTCAAAATTAAAAAGCCCTCCAACACTACTTAAAGTGTATATGAATATTTCAAAATTTTTCAACATCCAGAATTCTTAGTTTTAGTTGAAAATTTCTTTACTTTTCTAATTGATTAAATTGATATTATCTTGATATTGTGTTGTCAGTAACTAGAAACGTCTCGTTATAAAAATATGAATGTGCTTTAATTTCCGATTATATTTATTGATGCAACTGAGGTTGGAAGTATATACACTTTTACAGTGTGCACTAATTACTTGTATGCATTAGAAATTCAAATAAGTTCTGTGTAGCCAGAAGCACAAAGGAATTTCACTAATGTAACTTCCAAGCTCTGCAGGCATTTATTTAGCTTACAATTTCTTAAATTCTGCAAGATCTCAGAGATTACTAGAGACCTTTACAAAGCTCTCAGAAGTTCAATTCAAATTTTTGCATTGTCATTCCAAAAATTTACCAGTTTACCAATTTGCATTAGTTCTTACTGAGAAATAATGTAGAACATCACATTTGAAGTGTTTAGACCGAACCCTTTTTGAGATACTTTCACAAAACTGAAAAAGGGCCCAATTTTCAAAGTCCCATATTTTAAAAGTTACTTGTTCAATTTCCCTTAACCTCTTCCATACCAAATGTCACTGGCCTAACAGTATGTACAAGTTTCAGGCACAAGGAAGCTTTTTCATAAAGAAAAAAATTGGGTGACATGAAAAGTCTGACTTAATACTAAGTAGCTTACAAATATAACTACAGAATTATTACCGTGGCTCCATAAGAGAAAAGGAGATACCACATTACAAACAAACAAATTATGATTCTTTAACATACAACTAAGGTCTTGATCATTCAACAAGATATGCTATCTCCAACCCTTACACCTATGCTGAGTGTCATCAGCTTCAATAGGACTAACATTATACTCAGGAAAAAAATCCCATTGAAGAGCAAAGCGTAAGAAAATTTCCCCAAAAGCTGGATGCAAATATCAGCCTGTTTCCTGAACAGATCTAATTTATCCATCATATAATCTAAGCTCAGAATAATATATAGTTTCTGAAAGTATGGGCAATTTTTTTTAGAACAAGTTACAAATCCATTTACATTCCCATAGTAATAGGTATTCAAGTTAAACCAAAAATTTCAAAACCTCGTTCCTAATGTTAGGCTCCCAACTCCATATTGTGACAGTAACTAAAGGATAGTGCGCACATTTGAATGTCAGGGTATGTCTTCACTACCGGCCGGATTGGCGGGCAGCGATCGATCCAGCGGGGGATCAATTTATCGCATCTAGTCTAGTCACAATAAATCGACCCCCCGAGCGCTCTCCTATCAACTCCTGTACTCCAGCTCGGCGAGAGGTGCAAGCAGAATCGACAGGGGAGTGGCAGCAGTCGACTCACCGCGGTGAAGACACCACGGTAAGTAGATCTAAGTACGTCGACTTCAGCTATGTTATTCACATAGCTGAAGTTGCGTAACTTAGATCGATCCTGCCCTCCAGTGTAGACCAGGCCTCAGACTGCATAAATGCTGGAATTCAAATTTGAGACCTTAACATTAGGTACCCAAGGTTTGAAAATGATGGCCTTAACCATTCCATGAATATGCATAATATGTTCACCATTTTCTGTATGTATATTTACTACAGTGTAAATTCTTTTATGCCATACTTACTAAGTAGTGTTTTTCAAAAGCTTCTACAGATGATAAGGCCTCCTTGAGTTTCTTATAAGGACTTTGTGCGGTGTTGGCTTCAAAAGAAAGTGAACAAGATACTGACTTACAAACAGATTTTTGTTTTAACATGCAATAATCAAATGTAGAGAGAGAACATTATTTTTACGTTATGTGCTACAGTTAAAGATAGTCCAAACTATTTAGGTAACTTAATCTTGTTTTTTCAAATTCTAAATTGAAAATGTCTAGTTAACAGGATTTATTTTACTGACCACTACCCTGTTTCCCCGAAAATAAGACAGTGTCTTATATTAATTTTTGCTCCCAAAGATGCGCTAGGTCTTATTTTCAGGGGATGTCTTATTTTTCAATGAAGAAGAATACGGTACACATCGGTGGATGCCTTATTATCGGGGAGGTCTTATTATCGGGGAGATGCCTTATATTACAACGAGAGGCAAAACTGTAAGTAGGCCTTATTTTCGGAGGATGTCTTATTTTCGGGGAAACAGGGTACATGTGCTGCTACAGTCAAAATTCAAATGACATTACAGCAGCTAAGAAAACTTCCCTACACTGTTTTAAAAATACTGTTCTATATCACATTCACCAAAATATGTCAGAACATAAAATTATATTTAGATACTCCCCTGTATCTTAACAAGGTTAATACTTCTCATACTTACCCATTTTAGGATTTATAAAAAACAGTATGAGAAGCTTCTGTACTTTATATTAGAGAGACAAAATAGGTGATGTAATGTCTTCTATTGGACCAACTTCTGTTGGTGAAAGAGCCAAGTTTTTGATCTTACAGAGAGCTCTTCTTCAGGTCTGTACTTTATATGGTATTTTAGTCTCTCAAATGACTTTAAACTGTTGCATTCTACTAGAAAAGTCTGCAATACTGGAACTTAAAAAAAGTTGTTTGGTTTAACGTCTTTATGTCACTCCAAACACTTGGTGAGGAAAAAAAACTACCAACTGCAGCAAGTCAAAAATTATAAAAGGGAAAACTCGCTTTTAATGGAATTGCAGTAGACTGCATATTGCTGGATTCCCTTTCACTCATTATCCCACCTGCAAAAGTAGAATTACATCTCAGCATTTGGCAAACAGTACAAATACACTAATTGTACTAGTAGATATTTAACATATGGAATGTTTTCCATTAATTGTTTAGAGATTCAGACTAATACAGAAACAGAAAGCCAACTAAATCTATGTGGTTCTGACTAATACAGTACAATTATGTCACTTTATAGCCCTAGTTACATACAGGGTATACAATATCAGATAAGGATTCTTCTGTTTCATTCTCAAACTGAATTTTAATTGTAAGGCTTGTAGTAGGAGCAGTAATAAAAGTATAATTCAGAACCAAGAGTGATCAGAGATGTCTGCTGTCGCACCTCATAATGTTGATAAATTGAATATATACTGGGAAATCCACACTCCGCATTAAAGGGTTATAATTAAAAAAAATAATGAAATACACACTATACCACTCAAAGAACATATGCTCCCCCTTTTTCCTTCACCCCCACAGTATCACGTGTACATTTATCCACTTACAGAAGTGAACTTAATTCTCCCATCGAAAGATCTAATATAAGAGGGAAGCCACCACATATTTAAACAGATAGCAAGGGATTACATAAAGTATGTACATTTTTGGTAGTACCTGTTTCAGGGCGCTCTGCTCCCAAGCCTGCTAACAGATCAACTGTTCTGTTAAGATCTTCTGAATCAGGTCCCTTTTCTGACACAAGTCCACACAGGTAACCAAGGGATTTTAGCTATGGAAATAAATACAAGCCATAAATAGGTTTCAAAAGTTGCGAATATCCATACAAAAAGCCTTGCTAACAAATGTCTTCCACATCATGACTCCCAACAGATCAGTACAGGATGTTTTGATAATAAATACTATTGTCATATTACTACACTTATAAAACCTTTATTAAAATTGTCTCCTCAAGGGACAGACAGGAGAGCCTTCTAAAAGTGGCTGAGCATTTTACTTGGAAAGCTGAAAGGAATCTTATTTAAGACTACATTATATTTACGAGTCAATAACTTTTGGTATTAAAGACATTAAAAATGTAAACACTCCGTACTTTTTATAAAACATCTGAAATATCGATACTTATTAAACCCAAGGGTTTGGGTTTTTTGTTTGTTTGTTTTTTAATGTATAGAGAACAACTTTGATCTGTCTGGCAGTTACTAACAGACAGGTGCATTTAAAATACCAGGTTTAGAATATTTAATTAGTGTTGTGTTTCAGTAAAAAAAATTAAACTACATAACTGTATGAAGTCCAGAGCCTCCAATGTACGGATTGGATAGATATACAGGTTGAAAACTCATAACACACATAATTATTTATATAATGCTGTATGTGATGTGAAACATTTCTTCTTGAACAGAGTGCCATTAAAGATGTAGGTGAATAGTTACCAATCATCATGGGACTGAATTGGGGGTAATTTGCTAAATTGTGTGTCAAAGGATACTATCTGACTGAAGGTCAACCCTGGTGATTATTTTCTGATGTGAAGAATTAGATTGTCATTTTAGCATAATAGAGGTTACTGATCAACAAGTTATCCAATCTATTTTATAATAGGGTCTCATTACTTGTCTTGCCCCTCGAAGTAGTAAATTTCACACTGTGTGGACTAATATTTTCTTTTAATGGTTCTAAATGGACTTTTTGTAATCCCACCTCATTTGCTGTTTTGCCATTGGTTCTGGTGCTCTTCACTCCATGCCTCTAACACTGCAATCCTTCTACAGACTAACCTCTCCCTGCCCATTATGTTTCTCAACATTCTCCCTCCTCATTTATCCACTCCACCAATTATCTCCTCAACCCTATTTCAAAGCCAAGGGCATCCCCAGAAGTTTTAATATAATCAGTTATACACTGTAATAATGACTTGTAAGTAGCCTGATGTACCCATCACCTCCTTAACTATTTTGCTTGTATGTTTTTCCATTTTATCCTTTAGCCTTGCCTTTTTAGGATATAAGCTCTTCTGGGTGTGGACTGTCTTCCTATGTTTATACAGCACCTAGAACAATGGAGCCCTAATCCTGATGGGGGATTTTAGGAGGTACCATATTATAAACAGAGTAAAAATAGTAATTAATAAAAAGAAAATGTGAGAAAGTTCCCAGCAACTTGGGAGAGTAGCAGATAAGTGGGCTGTTGACGCTAACATTGTCAGTGAGAGTCAATTATTTCTACTGTAATTATACAACAGCCATGATTTCTATATTGTAACCAGATTTCTACAAAATCCATAATATGCTGGAAGTCTGGGGAAAAATCAAAATATAAATAAAAAGTTTGGAGGGGTGGAGGCTCTCATTCAGCGCAGGGTTTGTCCTTTTGCAACATTCACAGCAACCTCCTCCTTTCAACTGACAGACTTCGTAGGTTCATTTCAAAGCTAATCAGCACCACTACTGATTAGCTAGAGCAGTCACTGCTTAGCAACATGAAGCACTTCTTTTCCCCTCCTTACATCAAAGAGCTGAGCATGTGCTTAAGTATTCCCAGCCCTTGCCTCCCAATGAAGAAATAGAAAAAATGTAAACCTGATTATGTCAGGTAGCACGACAGAGTACTACCAGGCTAGTCTACAGATCAGTGTATTAAAGAACTTCTAGATTCACAATAAAACATGTCCCAGTTTGACACAGAGCCAGGGCACATTTCAAGTGATGTCTCCGTAACTGAGCTTGCTTACCTTTTCAGTGGCATAGGTCCATAAGCCAACTGTGTGGGAAACATTGGCATCTACTTGTGCTCGGTCACAGCAGCCTTCTATTCTTTGTAGGACCTCTAAACAGCTCAAAAATACCCAGCAATCCAAAGCTCCAGGAGGAACAGAGACCTGAAGATGAACAGTAAAGGTCATTGAGAAATGAATAATTGCTTGATCATATTAGGACATAGCTTGAGAGACTGGGGGAGAGGTGCACTGCATGGGAAGTAGCTTCCATTTAAGGAGATTTAGAAGACTGAGGGCTAGTGTACACTACCGCTACATCAGCGCCGCTGTAGCATGTCTGAAGACACACTATGCCAATGGAAGAGTGCTCTCCTATCCGCATAATTACCCCACCTCAACTAGAGGTGGAAACTATGTCAGCAAGAGAGCATCTCCTGCCAATATAGCGCTATGCAGACACCGCTTTAAGTTGATGAAACTTACGTCACTCCGAGGGGGTGGGAGTTCACACCGGAGTGACATAAGTTACATCAACTTAAATGGTAGTGTAGACAAGCCCTAGGATTGCTCAATTTGGAAAGGAGTATGAAAAATCTGATAAAAGCATATTAAACAACAAATGGTATAAATACATCGGGAACTCCTACTTACTCTGTGTTGGGATACATGAGCAATGTGACAATCAAATTCTAAGGCACCGAATTTAAGGTAGAGAAGAGGAAGTGTTTTTTAGTGCAACTAATAATTATCTCATGGAGTTTTCACTACCATGGTATCTTAGAAACAATCAGAAGGATTAACTTTGACTAAGAATAGTATCTGCAGTTACAATAGCAAGGATAAGACTAATAAGGAATTAATCACAAGCTTGAGTCAGGAAGACATTTTCCCATAATGACTTAGTACTGTTCCTGAAAACGGATATATGATCAGCATACTAATACTTAACTTTGGTCATCTTGTATACAATGGGGATGATCAAAATTTGTCCCCCCAGCATACCTGATAAAGCCACGGTATAACACTAAGATACAGTAGTAACACACACAGTTCTGAAGTGAGCTGCTGGCCCACATATCAAGAAGATAGCCTTCCTACCCTATTCCCCACACAACTATACATTTGTTACCACATAGAAGTTAATTATTGGCTATAGATCAGACATTGGTAATGAATTCAGGAAAGAAGCATATGAATGACTATCAGCTTCATAGTACATTTATATTAGTTATTCAGATAAGGCTCAGAACATTTTAACACTACAAGACAATCATAACGCTACCTCCAAAAAAACAAATCTTTATGCAGTCTCCATCCGTATGGCTACACATCAAAGAAAACCCCATGGCTGCCCCATGTCAGCTGACTCGGGCTCGCAGGGCTCAGGCTGCAGGACTGTTTCACTGCTGTGAAAATGTTTGGATTCTGGCTGGAGTCCCTGCTCTGAGACTCTCCCACTGCACAGGTCATGATCCTCACAGGTAAATATTTATTTTAAAACATATAGTAATATATATGTAATATTGTAGCATTATTACAATTAGAAATTTTTACACCATTATGTTGATCGTACACTAGCAGTGCTAAATGTGTCAGCGGCGAGTGACAACTGGACAGAAACCTCTGTTATTAAACAAGAGATGTTATTTACATAATGAATTATATTACACTAACTCACTTCTAGTAGCTTAAGCTCCTGCACGCAGTTGTGAAGAAGCTCTAGTGCTCGCTGGGACACTTCCCACGGTCTCTGTAGGAAGATCAGCAACGTGCACTGGCGAGAAAACAGGTAACTGCGCAAGTCTAATAGAGTGGCTTCTTGATTCTGAATCAGCTCTCGTTTCTCCATATCTATTGGTTTACGGAGAATCAACCCATTCCAGCTCCGCACTGGTTGGCAGAAAAATGTCAACCAATTTGCTCCATCTAAGTAAACAAACATACAGTTAACATCCAAACCCATTATTTTAAAGTAAGGTGTTTTTTTTTTTTACCCCACAAACAACGCAAGGGCCAATACCTATATAAGCAGCCTTATTTTCAAAAGTGGCACCCACACCTCCCATTACTGACTCTAAATACTTAAAATTAGGCACCCAATTTTCAAAATGTTGACCTAAATGTCTTACAGCTTATAGCTGTCAGGTAATTGGTTTACAATGCATTTCTGGATGATTAAAGTAAATCTCAAGTGAAATTACAGAAAGCTGAGCAACTTTATCTGCCTGAGCACCCATTAATTACACCTCACCATGATAGGTGTGTCCCTTATTTTAGTCAGATCTGCCTTTATCCCACTAATTCACTATAAGTTATTTGTCAAGTGTTCCATACATCTTTGTATTTTTACATCTACACTTAGTGGTATCTGAACACCTCATGTTGTATTATGAACTATCATAACATCTTATTTATACAAAATAATTGATTTCACATTACTTGACACATCTCAAAAGGTATGTATCCCATGTTATTGCCAAACTGAAATGAACGCAAGTCTCATACTGCTTGTAGAAAACAATTTATATTAAATATACAAGGAAAGAATTGTATACATATGCATTAACTGGGCATGGCATAACTCTACAGTATCTAGAATTCCTTAATGTATCTAATTTGAAAACCACTTTTTAGCCAATGTCTAAGGTAGCCTGTAATCATGCATGTTGTTTAAAAAAATCGTATTAGATTCAATGGGAAGCCTTCAAAATAGCATACAGGAAGATTTGATTTTTAATGACTCAATAGCAAGCTTTGGGAACAAGCAGCAGCACCAGGGCCAGATCAAGACATAGGTACTTTAGACCCATGGCTAGGACCCCAATTCTTGGACTCACATGAGACCAGAATCTCAGCTTTCATGATGTTTCTAGACCTCACGGATGCAAAGAAGAGCTTGAACACACGACCAGAGTATAACTGTTGCCTGTCAATCTGGAGAGAGCATGAAACAATAGCTCTAAATATCAGGAAGTGTCTCATTCATCTTAATTGAAATCTGCTGCCACCCCAGGAAAGGGTGTGGCAGAACCATACAGGCTGTGCCTAGGGCCCTGTTTTACTCTAATTTGGTCCAGAGCAGAACAGGGAGTGGAACTACTAATCTGCTGCACACATTCACTTGTTGATTTAAAGCACTTACCACCAGCACCAAAGTTAACAACATATTGAGAGAACAAGGCATCAAGTTCATCATACTGCACCAAGGCATCTTCAAACTGCTGCAGCATTTCAAAGACAAAGGCCAGCTCTTCCTTTTAGCACACAGACAAAGAAAGGTACAAGTTATCAAAATGTGTTGCAGTCAATATTGTGGATTTTAAAAGTTAACTGAAAAGGACTCACTAACCCAAAAGGACTTCTCCAAACTTGTCTCTGAGGGTTTGAATACCCAGGACAGTGTAATGTTACAATTAATTATACTGCTATAACTCCCCTGATGGACACCCTAATTCCAGAATAAGAGTGCCTTTTTCCAGGTTAACCTATACTGCTTCCAAAGCTAAATGGGAAAAAAACTACAGTAAGCCTGTCCACATGGAAAAAGTTATAGTGGTATAATTATACTGGTAATTTTTTCCTGTACAGACAAGCCCTTACTCACTATAATAAAATATTTAGAACAAGCCTTAACTCTCAGGAAGCTCATAAAACTCACCTCTTCCAGAAAACACTGTTGATGTACTTATAATTTATTCATTCTATTTGTATTATGGAGACACTAGTTGCAGCTCCACAATCAGGGGTGGCTCTATGTTTTTTGCTGCCCCAAGCACAGCAGTCAGGCGGCCTTCGGCGACGTTTCTGCAGGTGATCTGCCGGTCCCGCACCTTCGGCGTACCCGCCGCCGAATTGCCGCCGAACCCACGGGACCGGCGGACCTCCTGCAGGCATGCCGGCAAAGGCTGCCTGACTGCCGCCCTCATCTCACAGCGACTGGCACGCCGCCCCCCACGGCTAGTCGCCCCAGGCATGCACTTGCTGCGCTGGTGCCTGGAGCCACCCCTGTCCATAATTAAAGTTCAGCTTTACACTTAAAGCAGGGATTCAACATATGTTATGTATGAAAAATTCCACCTATTCTCCCCCAAACAACAGCGTTTACTCCATAGAATAAACTTTTTGGGAATTTACAAGTAAATCTGTTAATGAGTTTAACTAATTTTAACTCCTAAACAGGTCCTTTAAGAAATTTAGCACTTGGTGTCACCTTTCTTTCCATCTTGAATAGGGTTAACAGAATAATGCAAAAGCTTTGAATTTCAGCCTATGCCCCTACATGACTACAAATTAGATATTTAGTATTTGTGGTTTCAGATAACACTGAATTTTAAGACATTTTTTTCTTCTCTTCCCCACTTCTCATCCCCACTGTCATCATAAGCAGAGTTAAGGCTTAAGCATGTTTATTTAGTTTTTTTTTAAACCTTAACTGATAATTTACTGTGTTCAACACACTTAGGTTTGGGATAATTGCAACAACATCCACGTAATATGTATTTTATCCTAAATTACTGATCTGTACACACCCTCAACTCCACCTTAATGAGACTTCTGTCCAACCACCTGGTTTTGTGTTATATAATGAGCTGGGGGGGGAGAGGGGGGCTTGGCGGGGAGGCGAGAAGTCTCAAGAGGTGGTGGGACCGATCTTACATAATGCAAAAACTCAAAACTATATGGCATCACACATGGGAAATACCTTCTAGTCTACATTTTAAGAGAAATATTCTAATCAAATCAATCCCTAATGTTGTAATTTGAATGTGCAGTTTTTTCTGTAAGTGTTTAAATGTTTACAAATCAGATACATTTAGGAGTCATGCAGATCGGGAAATTCAAAACATCTGAAAACAGAATTCTCTCCAGAGAATTACATGATTCCATTTTAAAAAAAAACTTTAAGGTCATTTATACTCTGATAACATTCTAAGCAAAAGAAAGTTTAGTAATATGTAGAGCACATTGGTATAATACTTTAACTAGAAGGGTTCATTTGCACAGCCATAATATATTTTAATTTTTAAAGACTTACACAAAGGCAATGGAACAACTAATAAAATGTTTATTAAAAAAATATCTGTGCTCACAACTAATCCATAGCCTTTCTGCTACCCAAGGTCCTAAGACACACAGAAGCCTGAACAGATCTTGCAGGTGAACACAGCACCACAAAAACATTGCAGGCAAGAATAGCGACAAGTTTTGCCATAATACTAGCCTCCATCTCTTAAAAAGGAGAGTGATCTTAAAAAAGAAAAAAAAAAAGAAAAAAGAATGCTTTCAACAAAACAAAGGACTAAAAAAATTTTAAAATTTCTTCTTTAAGTCTGTACCTGGACCATGAAATACTCGCAAAAACTCCACCCTGGCTCAGTCCTCTTCTCCCTCAAAGTTCTCATGTCATCTTCAAACTTGCCTAGATTTTTGGTAAAAGACATGAGAAGCAGCGTCCTGAGTTTTGTCAGGAAGGCGTTCCAGGATTCCTGAGAACGGGAAGAGTCTTTCAAGGGGTCAGACAGTACCACACATCTGTAAAGATATTGATGGAAATTACTTTGTGGGAATAAAAAGTAACATCCAGACAAACTTATAATAGCCCCTGCAATTAACTACTGTAAACAATGTCAAATCGAAACTCAGATTTCCATTCCACATCAATTCAAGACTTTTATTAGTAAATGGTATGAACTAAGGACAGACAGTCAATGGAGGTAACAAATAATAGCGTTAAAATGATAATGTATATTGAACAGCCTTGTACTGTAGATAGAAAGGAAGCATTCGTTGGTAGGCGGGAAGGTCCTGACACCTGTCAGGAATGGTCTAATTATTGCTTAGTCCTGCCTTGGCAGGGGAGTGCAATAGACGATGTATCGAGGTCTCTTCCAGTCCTACACTTTATGATAGGTTTAGAAAGAAATTTAAATCTGTGTTCCACAAGACAGGAGAGATTACAAAATGAGTATTCTATATTTTCAAAATCAATAAAAATATGTTTTAGAAATCCAAAAAACACAAAAAAAGCTCTGCTGTGTCGGTTCCTGGTGTAAGGCTTTATGAGCCACGGGAGCAAGAGGTAGCTGGTGTTTCCACTATGGGCATTTGCATATTCCCTGGTGGAATGTTCTGGTCTGGAAAGAAAATCCCAGCGTGCAGCTTTCTATACAGTCTAGTGTTCCAAAAGATGCGTGCATCATGCACCTTCCCTGACCACCCTGCACTGATGTCAGTCAAATGGCCCCGGTGATCCACCAGCGCCTGCAAGACCATGGAGAAGTAGCCCTTTTGGGTTGATATACTCTGTCACAAAATGGTCTGTGGCCAAAATTGGGATACGAGTTCTCCCCTGCAATTAGGGAATCTCATTGCCTTGAAGTCATCAATTATTTGTCTTGGACATTACTGAGAGTCACTGTCCTTCAAAGCAGAAGGTGATTAATGGCCCTGCACACTTGCATCACCGCAGCCAACTTTACAACTCCAAACTGGTTTACAACTGACTGGTAGCAGTCTGGAGTTGCCAGCTTCCACACAGCGATCGCCACTCGCTTTTCCACAGTGAGGGCAACTCTCATTCTGGTGTCTCTGCACTGCAGTGTTGGGACACGTTCCACACACAGTTCCAGCAAGGTGGCTTGGTGCATACAGAAGTTCTGCAGCCACTGCTCGTCATCTCATACATTCATCATGATGCGATCCCACCACGCAGTGCTTGTTTCTCGAGCCCAGTACCAACAGTCCACCATGGCAAGCTGGCCCATGAACGCCTGCAGCAATTTTGAATTATTTGTTTCCATGGCAGACAGCAGGGCAGGCATCACTCTGTCACAGCTCATGAAATACTGCAAGACCAGCCACACTGTGTTCATAATGCTCAGCACCAGACTGATCAGCAGCTCAGGAATTATGCTGTCAGACAGAGGTGGCAGGCATACGGTTTACACGGACTGTTGAAAAACAGCACAAAACGAAGTAGGAAGCCCATGGAATGATGGGACAAAAAAAAAGCATCATGTGACAGCGAGCATGTCCCCATGGTGCATCGTGATCTGTTACCGGAGCTCCCAGCGGCAGAGGGTGGAGAGTTGCACAGTGAGATAGCTACCCTGATACAACAACGCTGTCGATGAAAAAGTAACGACTGTGGATACGCTCAGCTGACAAGGAATGTTGTGTGGACATGCTCCACTGATGTTATTAAAGCGACTTATGATCGTCAACAAAACTTAAGGCAAATAGTGTAGACATGGCCTAAGACTTTACTCTTGTACTTTTCCTCTGGCTCACTGGTGATGGGTTTATATAAACCTTGAAAAAACCAAGGATTTGAAGTTCTGAAAGTTGATTTTGGTTACTTCATTCATTCTGAATCAGTGTCTACAAAAATATAGCTTCAGTATGTTTAAAGCCTTTTATCTTTTCTGGAAGAGGTGAACATCCAGAATTTAACTGTAGCCCTACAGAACTACTTTTTTCTTCTCTCTCTCTCTTTTAAATTTTTATTCCACCACTACTAATTCAGGAAAAGATGCAGCAAACTTTTTCCTCCATTGGTTCATATTTTGGGACAGATGGACATACATCTTACCAATGCCATTTGCTTAATGTTAGGCATCAGGGAAGTTACTATTCTTTTAAGTGAAAAACTGGACCTATTAAATGATTAGCCAGAAAACTAGTTTTACAATTATAAACAATATTTTTGAAAAAGTCCTTACCTGTCACTTTGCTTGTTACAGAAGTCATTTCTTATTTTATCTACTATAGATGTTCGGGGAAGGATGTTGGTTTTGTCTTTTTTTTTGCATCGCTCTCAACTACCACAATTAACCAATCCACAGAGCTGTGCACTTTCAGAACATTCTGCCACTTGGTGATGTCATCCTTTACTGTAGCTTTGTACACTTCTGTATCCTAGGATTATAAGTAATGAATTAGCAAATCAAATTGACAATCTGGACAAATTTGAAAGATTTATTTTGTTAAAACAGGAAAAAAAATATTTCAAATTATACCAAACGGAATTAGTGACACAGATTATTGAGAAGTTAAACAAGGACAATGTCAAGGTAAGGTTTTATTCTTTCGATTGATTACTTTATTATTACTACTTTAGACTACTGCAAATGAAAGATTTTTAAAAATCAAATTCACCCTGAACAACTCATTGAAATTTGGAACTTGATTCAACTAAGACAACGAAACTAGACTGATTAATTTCATTTTCTGGTTCTAATACACCAACAGTGCAGTGGCATTTGGACTTACAAACAACTTGACAATTTCCAGCAATGTTCGAATCTTCAATGACAAATTTAAACAATTGAAGTAACTCATTTTCTGTAACTTTTGTCTTTTTATAGATCAACTATGAACATGTTGCTATGAATATTCACGATGCAAAGTTGTTTTGGTTAGTTGTGATTGGTCAAGTCAGATGGTTAGTGTCTTTTTTTTGATTGTATGAGAATTTCTCCTATAATGAGGATAACTCCTGGTGAATGAAACATTGCAAGTAAGATTAGGGAGTATTAAATTTTTCCATTTTTGGATCACGAATCTTATCTAAACCATGATTCTTTTAACAGATTAAATTCTGATTTACTGACTGTGTGAACTATCTCCCATTTTCATACTGGGACAGTGCATGTATGCATTGTGTTGCTGCCAAGGATGTGGTCAGATCCTTGTATAGTTTAGTTTCCACTGTGCCAGGGCTCTCGGAAAGGGTTTTGGAAAACCTGTACTCCTGCTGCGTCAAGCAGTGTCACTATAAAAAAAACCAGTTACTTGCCGTCTCGTAACTGTTGTTCTTCGAGATGTGTTGTTCATGTTGATTCCAATCAGGTGTGTGCGTGCACATGTGCACGATGGCCGGAAGATTTTTCCCTTAGCAGCATCCATCGGGTCAGCCTGGGCAACCCCTGGAGTCACACCCTCATTGCGCCTAATATATAGTGCTGCCGACCCGCCACCTCTTCAGTTCCTTCTTGCTGGCTACTCCGACAGAGGGGTAGGAGGGTGGGTATTGGAATGGACATGAACAACATCTCGAAGAACAGTTACTAGAAGGTTTTTTCTTCAAGTGCTTGTTCATGTCAATTCCAATCAGGTGACTCCCAAGCAAATTTAGGAGGGGGCAGGTCGGAGCTGTCCACTGACTGGAGTACTGCTCTACCAAAAGGCCGCATCATCTCTGACCTGCCTAGTAATTGCATAGTGTGCGGCGAAAACATGTATCTATGACCACGTCGCTGCCCTGCAAGTTTCCTGGGCGAGGACTTGAGCCAGGAAAGCTGTTGATGAAGCTTGCGCCCTTATAGAGTGCGCCATTATTAGGGGCGCTGTGATCCTTGCTAAATTGTAGCACTCAGTAATGCAGGCCACAATCTATGATGAAAAGCGCTGTGTCGAAACAGGCTGGCCCTTCATCCTGTCCGCTACTGCGACAAAGAGCTGTACCGACTTCCTGAACGGTTTCGACCTTTCAATGTAAAAGGCCAGCGCTCTGCGGATGTCGAGAGTATGGAGCCTCTGTTCCCTGCTAGTCGCATGAGGCTTGGGGTAGAAAACTGGGAGGAAAAACTTGGGGTAACTGCGATACCACCTTTGGGAGGAAGGCGTGATGGGGCCCGAGCTGAACCTTGTCCTTAAAAAACACTGTGTAGGGAGGCTCGGACGTTAGAGCCCTGAGCTCAGACACCCTCCAGGCTGAAGTTATTGCCACCAGGAATGCGACCTTGTAGGAGAGGTAGAACTGGGAACATGTTGCTAAAGACTCAAAGGGATGCCCCATGAGCCTAGAGAGGACCAAGTTAAGGTCCCAAGCAGGAACCAATTGGCGGACATGCGAGTACAACCTGTCGAGGACCTTCAGGAAGTGACTGACCAGAGGGTTAGCGAAAATCAAGCGGCTCCGTATCCCCGGGTGGAAAGCAGAGATGGCAGCTAGATGTACTCTTATGGAAGACAAGGAGAGACAGTCTTGCTTTAGGAGGAAAAGGTAATTCAAAATCTGGGGCACTGAGGCCAGCGTCAGGAAAAAGTTGCACTGAGCTGACCAGACTGAAATTCTCTTCCACTTCGCCAGGTACGTGGCCCTAGTGGAGGGTTTCCTACTACCCAAGAGAACCTGTCTGACTTGCTCTGAACAGGAAAGCTCGAAAGTATTGAGCCATGGAGCCTCCAGGCTTTGAGATGCAGCGACTGCAGGTTCGGGTGCTGGAGCCGCCCATGATCCTGCATGAGAAGGTCCGGGAAGAGCAGCAGGGTAATCGGGGCTTCGACTGATATGTCTAGGAGAGACATGTACCAATGCTGGCGGGGCCAGGCTGGTGCTATGAGAATGACCCGAGCCTGGTCTCTGCGGATCTTGAGCAGGACCTTGGGGACGAGCGGTAGGGGTGGGAAGGCATATAGAAGCGGTCCCCCTGCAAATGGAGGAGGGATGCGTCCAATGTGGAGCCTGGACTGTGATTCTGGAAGGAGTAGAACTGCTGACACTTCCTGTTGCGTCGCGTGGCAAAGAGGTTGATCAGGGAACAGCCCCACCTCTGGAAGAGCGAAGATGCGATTTCCGGGCGGAAGGGACCACTCATGGCTGTGAAGAGATCTGCTGAGGTGGTTCACCAGCTAGTTCTGGACCCCTGGAAGGTACGATGCCTTTAGATCGACTGAGTGCTCTATACAAAAGTCCCATAACTTGCGGGCTTCCTGGCACAGGGGAGAGGAGCATGCACCTCCATTTGTTGATACAGAACAGCGCGGTCGTATTGTCCGTCAGGACCGATACACATTGGCCTGCTAGATATGGGCAGAATGACTGACACGCTAGGAGTACCGCTCTGGGCTCCCTGACATTGATATGAAGATGGAGATTTGTCTGTGACCAGAGGCCTTGAGTCCTATGGTCCCCCAGATGAGATCCCCACCCCAAGTCTGACACGTCCGTCACTAGCATTAGGGATGGTTGTGGGGCAGGGAAGGGGACTCCTGAGCATACCTGCTGAGCGTCTGTGTACCACAGGAGCAAGTCGAGGATAGGGCTAGGCAGGGTCACAGTCCTGTCCAAGATGTCCCTGGCAGGAACGTACACTGACGCAAGCCACGACTGAAGCAGCCGAAGCATGAGTCTGGTGTGCCAAACCACTTACGTACATGCCACCATGTGGCTGAGAAGTTTGAGACAATTTCTCGCGGTGGTAGTAGGGAACTGCCGAGTCCCTGGATCATAGCATTGAGGGCCTGGAATCTTGCCCGTGGGAGGAATGCTCTAGCTTGGGTTGAGTTCAGAATGGCCCCTATGAACTCTATCCTCTGGACTGGGGTAGAGTCTATTTCGTTTAGTAGGAGGCCCAGATTCTTGAAGGTGGCTCTGATGAATGCCACCTGAGCTTCCACCTGAGCCCTGGATCGGCCTTTGATCAGTCATCAAGGTATGGGAACACCTGTATCTGATGTTTCCACAGAAAGGCAGCGATGACTGCCATGCACTTGGTGAAGACTCGAGGTGCCAGTGACAGGCCGAAAGGGAGGATAGTAAATTGGTAATGGGAACCGTTGGCCATAAACCTGAGGAACTTTCTGTGGTTGTGCGCAATCGCTATGTGAAAATACATGTCCTTCAAGTCGAGGGCGGCATACCAGTCTGCTGGATCCAGTGAAGGGATAATGGAGGTCAGGGAGACCATGCAGAACCTCAGTTTCCGGAACCTGTTGAGGTCGCGCAGGTCCAGGATAGGCCTTAGGACGCCTTTGGCCTTCTGTATTAGGAAGTAGCGGGAATAGAAACCCTCGCCCTGTGTTGCAGTGGAACCTCCTCCACCGCCCCTAGTGCTAGGAGTGATTGCACCTCCTGAATGAGAAGTTGCTCGTGAGAAGGGTCCCTGAAGAGGGACGGGGAAAAGGGGGGCGGGGGGGGGAGGGCGGGAGGGCACAGAATTGGATGGAGTATCCCCTCCCTACTGTGCAAAGCACCCAGCGGTCTGAAGTTATATGGGACCATGCATAGTAGAAAGGAGATAGTCGGGAGGAAAAGGTAAGGCAAGGTGAATCCAGTCTCTGGTCTGGTATGCCGTCCTCGACTGCACCTTTAAAAGGCCAGTTTAAGGCCAGAGCGTGGTTTGGTCTGGCCTTGATTAGCGGAGGGATGTTGCCTTCTCCTACCACTCCGGTTCTTCCTCCTAGAACTATCCTGGTGGTTCTGCTGCTGGAACCTTTGAGGAGGTTGTGGGCGGAAGTGTCTCCGCTGTGTAGCAGGGGTATGCAAGCCCAAGGATCTGAGGGGGGCTCAGGAATCTTTTAGGCTGTGGAGCCATTTGTCAGTCTTCTCTGAAAACTGAGTCTCACCCTCAAACGGGAGGTCCTGAATTGTTTGTTGGACTTTGGGCAGCCCTGCGGAGCAACTGCTGTAGAACTCTGTCCTCTAACGCAGGAGCTATGGACATCCCTGCCA